GAGAGTAATTAAAAAGTCTATTTGAAACCAGGAGATTATAACAGCCACCAGATCGCAGTAATGGCTTTTACAATTCATTTCTTTTGTTTTACCAATGTCAATACTAAATGATTTGAGATGATCTCAGAGGTGGATCAGAGAGGAACTCTGTTTTCTCGTGGTCAGTTCCAGGGTTTTTGAGTGCATTCGACCTCATTTAGGATTGTATTTTTTTTTTTTCGTTTTATTCATTACAATAAAAACTTCTTTGACGAATTGGGATAGATGAATGTCCATTATTATTTGGATTCTGAGAGGTTGAGGACCAACAAACTGTAAGACAGAGAGGAAATTATCTCTATCTGGCCCCAAAACAATTTCTAATCGGAATCTGGTGCCTTTGAGCCAGCAAGGCTCCAACGAAAACTCCCCCCTCAGAAGATATGTGGAATGTGTCGTCGCTATGGCAACTCAACTCTGTCCCCTTTCCCAGCCTGGGCAGGGCTGCGGAAAGGCCACCGAAGCGTCCAGGGTCACTGTAACCCTCCAAACCTCAATTCCCCCCCCCCCCCCCCCCCCCCCCCCCCATCCACACTGAGGTGACATGCGCTGCTTCATCGTGGCTGCAGGAACTGAAGTTGGGATAGTCCTAACCCACCACCCCACCTAGTGGACACTCATGTTATGTTGTCTGAAGTCTGTTGCATTTCTGTCTGAGGTGCTTTTTGGCAGAGCAAATATGCCCTCCTGGTGAAGGGTAACTTTGAAGTGCCTTTTTTTTCCTCCACCTGAACCAATCCTCATGTAACCCTCTTATCTCTATTAAGGTAGCGCGACTCGGGTTGCGAATGACCACAGTCACCAATTCTTGTCATGTGTCTTGCCCATGTATGTCTGATCTCTGAATTGTGTGTACTAAAACTCTAATTTCCCTCTGGGATTAATAAAGTATCTTTGATTGATTGATTTGATTGATTTGAAAGTCCAGGCAACCAGATGGAGAATACATTATTAATGATAAACACCCATCTAGAACTGGATGCATTTTCTTTCTAATAAATGACGATATTGTTGTGAGCAATCATTTGTAGTTAAAAAAAATTGAATTAACTGACCTAACATCCTGTCTTAATTTAGTCATATTGTACGCTCTCGTTACTCTGACCCTGTTGGTTCTGGTGTCAGATGAACGGGTCCTAGGGATAATAACTGATGGGAGGGGTGAGAGTTCTGCGACTGTGTTCGAGTTTAAAAGCTAGCTTGTTTCGCAGATTTGCCGTTGCAGCTTTAACCATAACTCATCATTAACTAGCACTGGTTTATTTTTACCAACCACTAGTCTATCATTGTTTTAGACCATTTTAGTAACCATTATAAAACTCTGTAATAAACAACCAGTCATGATTGAGGATTCAGACGAGTTATTGCTCTAGTACTTCTGGGGCCTCGTTTATCAACCGTACTTACGCACAGATGTGTGCGTATTTCGTGCTTAGGCACAAATTTACACCTTTTGTACTTGTGTGTGAAAATGTTCCTAAATATAAGAACAACTCTGACCACGTGTAGGAACAGCATCTAGTGGTAGAACGGGGGAAATGCAGTACTGAAGGTCTCAGTCATCCACGTGTGTTCCTCATCCACTAATTATACAGTGGGGCAAAAAAGTATTTACTCAGCCACCGATTGTGCAAGTTCTCCCACTTAAAATGATGACAGAGGTCAGTAATTTACATCATAAGTACACTTCAACTGTGAGAGACAGAATTGAAAAAATCCATGAATTCACATGGCAGGATTTTTAAAGAATTTATTTGTAAATCAGGGTGGAAAATAAGTATTTGGTCACTTCAAACAGGGAAAATCTCTAGCTCTCACAGACCTGTAACGTCTTCTTTAAGAAGCGTTTCTGTCCTCCACTCGTTACCTGTATTAATGGCACCTGTTTGAACTCATTATCTGTATAAAAGACACCTGTCCACAGCCTCAAACAGTCAGACTCCAAACTCCACTATGGCCAAGACCAAAGAGCTTTCGAAGGACACCAGGAAAAGAATTGTAGACCTGCACCAGACTGGGAAGAGTGAATCTACAATAGGCAAGCAGCTTGGTGTGAAAAAATCAACTGTGGGAGCAATTATCAGAAAATGGAAGACATACAAGACCACTGATAATCTCCCTCGATCTGGGGCTCCATGCAAGATGATCATGAGAACGGTGAGCAAGAATCCCAGAACCACACGGGCGGACCTGGTGAATGACCTGCAGAGAGCTGGGACCACAGTAACAAAGGTCACCATCAGTAACACACTACAATGGCAGGGAATCAAATCCTGCAGTGCTAGACGTGTTCCGCTGCTGAAGCCAGTGCATGTCCAGGCCCGTCTGAAGTTTGCCAGAGAGCACATGGGTGATACAGCAGAGGATTGGGAGAATCTCATGTGGTCAGATAAAACCAAAGTAGAACTTTTTGGTATAAACTCAACTTGTCGTGTTTGGAGGAAGAAGAATACTGAGTTGCATCCCAAGAACACCATACCTACTGTGAAGCATGGGGGTGGGAACATCATGCTTTGGGGCTGTTTTTCTGCTAAGGGGACAGGATGACTGATCCGTGTTAAGGACAGAATGAATGGGGCCATGTATCGTGAGATTCTGAGCCAAAACCTCCTTCCATCAGTGAGAGCTTTGAAGATGAAACGTGGCTGGGTCTTCCAACACGACAATGATCCCAAACACACCGCCCGGGCAACAAAGGAGTGGCTCCGTAAGAAGCATTTGAAAGTCCTGGAGTGGCCTAGCCAGTCTCCAGACCTCAACCCCATAGAAAATCTGTGGAGGGAGTTGAAAGTCCGTGTTGCTTGGCGACAGCCCCAAAACATCACTGCTCTCGAGAAGATCTGCATGGAGGAATGGGCCAAAATACCAGCTACTGTGTGTGCAAACCTGGTAAAGACGTATAGTAATCGTTTGACCTCTGTTATTGCCAACAAAGGTTATGTTACAAAGTATTGAGTTGAATTTTTGTTATTGACCAAATACTTATTTTCCACCTTGATTTACAAATAAATTATTTAAAAATCCTGCCATGTGAATTCATGGATTTTTTTTTCACATTCTGTCTCTCACAGTTGAAGTGTACCTATGATGAATATTACTGACCTCTGTCATCATTTTAAGTGGGAGAACTTGCACAATCAGTGGCTGACTAAATTATTTTTTGCCCCACTGTATTTACCCAGTATGTAGTTATGTTGGTGGAAAAACTGCTTTTGCTCATTATTGGTGCTAAAACCAACAAAAGATGCGTGTGAGTGATGGGAATCTGATATTATATCATGATGAATCTGTGTTATTTGAGGATTTGACAGAGCGCGCACACTGGAGGGAACGCTTTCTCCGTGAGGAAGAAATCCTTCTGCTATGCTGTGATTTGGGACTCTTTGTGGAGCAACAGACAAACTTCACGAATCCGATTCCAGTTCATATTTTATTTTACAACTACGAGAACCCCCCAGAACCTCCTCCTGTTCCCCCGTTGTACACGCAACCAGATTGAATGACAGCTCAGAAGAAGCTGAGGCAGCACACTCAGTCAACATTTCCAAATGAAACTAACTCCAAACAGAACAACTCCTTAAATGTAAATGGGAACCTGTTACTCTACCAGTTATCAAATCCGTTTTTTATTTATTTCTGACAGGAACATCTCCTCTGTCCCGACCGCGTTTATAACATCTGCAACCTGTTTGGATTTTTTGTGCTTCAGCAGCCAGTGATCCGATCTTGTCACTAAAGTTTTTCTTATTTTTTCTGGAGAACAAAAACTGGGAATTCCCTCATGTGCCGAGGACGTAGCGTGATGAAATATGATTAATTGAGGGTGTTTCTCTACGTAAAGGATGGTGAATGGACATGAGCACCTGGGTACGCACAGGTGGGATTTATCATCAGACGATCGCGGAGGAACGTGCATACGAGAGGCCACCGCATGTTTCATAAATCAGGAGTACAGACATCTTAAATTTAATTTGTAGGAAGGATATAGGAACGTTCGTACAAACGTTTTGATAAATGAGGCCCTGGTGTTTTACTGTTTTTTTTTTTTGTACAATGGGTACTTTTCTATTTACACTCCTGATTATGAAGTCATAATTTTCCACAAGCAGCAGTGATCAGTTAGTCTTTGTTTTACTACCAAACACCTTCTGACAGCTGATTGATTTAGTACTAAGGGTGTAGGCGAGCATCAATAAAATCTTTAATTAAAGTTTCATTCTAACTAATGATTTGTGCTCCTGGTTTGTTTCTACAAATGAAGTAATGTATTTAACTTGTTCTGGACCTCAGGTGTGACCACTGTGTGGTGGGACACTGTGTGTGACCATAGTTTTGGCAGCGTTTCTTCGTTATAGTGTCCAGGAAGTCCAGGACTTATCCTATGTTAACAAAGATCAGTACTGTACTGTCTGCTTAAAGCTTAAATAGAATTTTAATGAGATATCTAACGGAATGTCTGAGTCCCACCATGCAGGCCTTCCAGTTTATTTTAAATATCACCATTTCAACTCTTTCTCCAGTGTGATATACCATTCTCCTTTCAAATGAAACACCCTTTGGGCACTCACGTCAACCCATGTCTTTTAAATGTACACTTGCGCGTATGCTCAGAGCTGACGACAATGCCCACACATTATCAGCGCCGACATTTTCCTTTTCTGTTTGCTGTGTCTAATTATCCATCCCTTCCCCTTGCCTGGTGCACAGTCAGCCAATTAGCAGAGCCCGCTCATTACCCAGGGTTTATTTCAGACTTTATCAAATGAAGAGTGGATGTGACAGTTCAATCTAACCTCAGCAATACGCCTCGCATGAACGCCTCCTCGCCGCTGCTGGACGATTTAATGTGGCTATCATTTAAGGGCACACTGGGTAAAACTCTGGAGCTAATTGAAATGCCACCCTGTTCTTTTATTTTATGACTTTATCCTTCTTTTTTTCCTCTTTTCTCCCTCTTGTAGTTCTGGATGTCTGCTCTGGCCACCACCATCCCAGTACCCTGTGGAGCCTTCATGCCTGTTTTCGTCATTGGTAATAAACACCGTCAGCACTGTGGTTCAGAGTTTCCCACATAAGGAGTAACTGTAAACACTCAAATTAGAACAATACTAGATTATTTTAGAGAAAAACATAATAGTTATGCTAGAGATCATATTCAGAGGAACTAATTGTGACGGCACTGATTTAATAGGACCTTTAAGTAGAAACCACAGTATTACGTACCAACGGTTGAACTTTCTAGCTAAAATGAAACTTGCCATTAATAAACCCATGCTGTCCTGTATGCCCTATATCTGTCCTGTCCCTTTAACTTATTGATCAAGCAGTAATTCATACAATCACCACCTGAAGGTTTTCCTTCACATGTTCTAGTGCTAAAGCAAAGCTAAACCAAGACTTGCTTAGCATCAGTTCTGTCATTTTCCAGCAGTTAAAGCTCTAGCTCTGATAAACTTCTCAGAACCCTTTGGCATAAGCAAATGAGCCATATTGGTGGGGAGTTGGGGGTGTTTATTTAATCAATAATTAATCATTAGTTGGGTTAGTTTTACTTGTGTACCACTTAATTTAAGATTAATCAACATTGTTAATTAAGATTAATCAATCAAATCAGCAGTGAAACAGTGGGAATTCAATGTCAGTGCCCCTGCAGTTTCTGTGTTTTGATAACCAGTCAAGCAGGTCAGAACACCAGTGATGGAGAGAGTCACTGATCTGATTCAGTGGTTTGTTCATGACGTTAGCATTGCGACTACACTGGTAGCTTCAGTGTGCATTGGATACAGCTATATGCTATACGTCTGTAAAAACCATGGTTGCATTGATTGCTTCATGGTTAACCTGCTATGTGTTCGTTTTTGAGGCACATTGAACGCCTCGTCACTATCAGCGGAAGCCACTTGGTGGGACAGTATTGAGACAATATTAACCAACATACGTACTTTCCAAAATGAAATACATTTCTTGAAAACAAGTCCATGACACCGTCTCTGGTTTCTGCAGCAGCATATTCTTCTGATCATTCTCATTGATCTGTGTACCGGAAGCTTTGTGTGAGGTAATTTAAGGTAATTCCTTATCATTGTGGCATTCGTGCAGAACTAAAGAACTCCAGACAGAATGACTAACAGTGGTTCAGGGAAGTCCAATAAACAACTGAGGTAAACTCACATCTCCCTGCATCTCCAACGTTCAGTAACTTTAGATACGGCAGCTGTCACAATAGCCCCTTATGGATCAGGTTTATATTAAAAAACTATTTCCATTTTTGGTTCTTTTTTAAAACACAGATAAGGTTTCTCTTTACCTTGCTGACGGTTTCGTTTGCGGCTGCGAACTTCCTCAGAGCTGACGCAGATGGTGGCGTCACTTCCTACTCTGTTTATCCGCGGGCAGCAGAGGACGTTGTCGCCCTCTGCTGCCCACTCTTCCCTCTCCGATGATGCAGAGAGGGGAGAGTGTCACTTCCTAAACAGCATCAGCTCTGAAGATGTTTGCAGCCACAAACTAAACCATCAGCAAGGTGAAGAGAAGCCTTATCTGTGTTTTAAAAAAAAGAACCAAAAATGAAATTAGAAGGCAAACACAGCAAGAACGTACAAAAGATGTTTAAAAAACTATGTTCAGATGTTTACATAGTTTCATAATAATTCCTAATAATTATATGATAAGCTCTAATAATTTTCTGATTCTGTTGGTTCATTTTTCTGAGCAGAGTGATTGTCTAACCCTCATTTCAACTCTCTTATTTCAACAGCATGTTTTAGCAATTCAAATATGTCTAATATGTAAATATCACAGATGAAGTGCGTTTCTTTTCATGTTGAATTTATTGATTAATGGAAAAATAGAGGATCAAATGCATCCTTCACAGAGAAGAGGGAAAAAAACATTGTGATGATGTTTAATAACCAGACGTGGGCTTGTAAATTCTTTGCAATGTGTTGAATATTTCAAATCGCGTCACGGATTGGATCAAATCGAAAATCATTTTCAGGTGAGTGTAGGGTTAAATATTGTTGCTTTTAAGCTTAAACTATTACCTTTACTAATGACCAATAAGCTGTGATATTCTATATAAACATAGAATATCAACCTGTTGGTCTTTGGATGGTTAATCCGAAGATTCTAGGATTCTTCGCTTTTTCAGGGATCAAACACACTTTGTCTCAATTCAGACAAAGTCAGGTTCATGACAAGTTAACCAAGGCTACTGTGATGGATGAATCTAAGTGGATGGGATGTGATGTATGGTGATTGAATGGCGTGTATTTATCAGAACCTAGTATCTAGAAGAACTGAGTTTTGGGTGTGAAAAAGAATTTGGTTTGGATTAACTAGGAAGTTGGTTCTTATCAAAACCACATCAGACACAATTCATGCTGTGTCTGCCTCACCCTTTTTGGAGATCCTCTTCGCCGATCTGGAAGTCAGGAAGGTCGGATGACCTCTGGGCACCGAGGTTCAGTAGATTAACCACAGCACCGACTCTCCAGTTCAGAGATGTCTCCAGGCACAACAGGTTGGAACTAGTTTGCGTCTAGAAGGACTCTGAAGCTTGGTTTATGCTTGACGCATTCACTTTCCACTTGGTGATGCGGCTCGCGGATGGAACACGCTTCACAACTCGCAGCGTTTATGGTTCATGCGGCTCGTCTCTGCGGTGAGCCAATATTCTCCCAAACTGTAGGGGGTAGCATGGAGCTCTACGGCATGCATCCAACACTACACCATAGTAGAAGTAAAAACTGTTGTTTACAACATGGCATTCCAGTATTTTTTAACAGTGTCCTTGTGTTTTCCGACAGTGGGAGCTATTTCTCTTCAAGAATTATTAACAACATGTTGATCACGGTGATCTCTGAGAGCTGAATCATACAAATGTCTGTATTTACGAACCTCTGCCATACTAGTTCTTGCCGGTCCGCCATGTTTTTCCGCGTGGTTAGAAATTTTCCTAGGTGTGCGTTGCGGAAATTTTAGGTCGTGCGGAGACGCGGTGGAGGGGCGTGGTTGTTAAAATGAAGCAATTTCGCCGCGTGGAGCCGTGCGGACCTTGCGGATGCGTCAAGCATAAACCAACCTTTTGGGAGTCAGAACTGTATCAGCTATGTTCTGCAGGAACCGTTTGCTGTGTCAGCTTCAGCGTGTAGCAGGTTTTTGACAGCTTGTCAAAAGATGCTCTGGGTTAAAGAGGTTTTTGCTCCGGATGGCCGGTCCGTAGCTTTCTCTAGAACTGAATCACTCAGGAAGTGACCTTAGTTTTATTAAAGGTTTTACCAAACAAACCTCAGAACACTCCTCTTTCAGGTAAAAGAGCTCTGATTTGTGGATAAGAAATTCATATGTGTCATGACGTTTAACTTAACCTTGTGTCAGGAAGATATGTGTGTGTGTGTGTGAGTGTAGATGATGATTACCTTGCCATATCAAACATTACTGATCATCATATATAAATCTTTCAATGTAATAATAATATTCATTTGAACTTCAGTAATTCAAGCACAGATTAATCAACCTTATTAATTTCAGCACAGATTAAACATTATTATTATTAATCAGCCATTATTGTTCATTCGACCATATGATTATTTACTATTATAACGGTTCAGTCCTTTATTCTGTGCAGGACAGCCTAGATAAGCAGACAGGCTTGGCAGAGAAGAACCTTGAGAAGGGAACATGATGTTGACAGTCTGAGTGTAAACATGCAGTGCCAAATCTTTTCCTGCAGCTTGGAAGATTAAGAGACGCACAGAGGCAGATTCATGTCTGTAGATGACCGGTGGCATGTAGGTCAATCTGTAGGTGACAACTGACCATTCCTGGACATTACATCAGTAATGAATCATCAGCAGGGATGACTCGTATTGGCAGAGGGTTTCACCGTATTGTTAATGTATCGTGTTGCTGGTAGCGTATGGAGATACCAATCAAATTGACCTCAGCGGTGGAGTTTCACATCCCTGCCACATAGAACTGCCTTCACAGTAGTTTTGTTTTTCTACTGAGTTCACAAACAGCCTTTTAAGCATTGTTTATAAACAATATCAGCTTTAAATATCACCAGTCGGAGTTTATGGATCCTGGTCCTCTGTTGGCAGTAAAGATTTCCAAATACAAATGTAAGATCAGTTAGGAATATTCATAAGCAGCAACTGCTGATGAAAACCTCATTTATTAGTTAGACTGGTGAAATGAATTTAGCTGCATGTGGAAGGAAGGAGACAAGCCCTGTGATCTTGAACTGACTCTTGTCTGGCACTGGAACCTCTCTGAAGACGAAGCTTCTAGTGGAGCAGTGGCACACAGATAATTATGACAGCATGTAAATCGTGCTCACCTTCTCAAAAGCACCTCTGTACCAGGTTTAGTCAAAATAATAAAAAATAAAGTCCTAATCAAGAGTTTAAGACCACCTTTGGATATTAGCAAGGTTACTTCAACAAGCAACACAAAGAAACAGAAGTGAGACAAAACATTTTCTGAGCAGCATGTTAGTGAAAACGTTTAATCCGAAGGCTGTTTCATAAATGATCAAAATTTTAAGGCCACGCCTCCAAATACCCCGTAACCCCTCCCCCAAACAGAAATCAAAGTGCCAAACATGAGCTCAGTAATGAATCGTTGATCACTTCAAAGACTTGTTACGACACGCTTGATGCAAGTGTTTCCATGAGGTGAGTGGGAAGATTTCTCCAAGTGCTGAAGTCAGATGGGCATCTACTGTCGGTTTTTGTAAGCTTCTCTTGCCATTAGGGTTCATTTTCATGCTGAGCTGGCCCTGAATCTTGGAGAGATATAACTCAGTCATGACTATGTTTAAGTTAAAACAGATAACCGGTTTATTACAATCCAGTCCATGTCAGTACAGATTCATGCATGCGTCTGGAGGAGATCCCAGTCCAAATCTTCCCGAAGCACACTTTTTATCCTTTAGGGAAACTGTCCACTCCCACGAAGGGAGATGAGATGGGAAAATGCATCTCCTCCGAGTAGCTAACCAATGGCTCGTGGTGTCTTATCTTAAGAACTGTGGCTCATTCTCTTCCATTTAAGGTGAACTTTCTGCATCAGAGTCTCATCATGTCTCAGCTGGAGCTGATCATCTTACCATGTGTGGTAAACATTTTATAGACAATACATTTGGTTTGGAAAGCAACACATTCCTGAGAGTTTAAGCTTGCTGTCTGCATGTCCCTCTGAGGTCAAAGGTTATCCTGAGAGGTAAACAATGGCCTCATGTTGGCATACCAGACTGAAATGCTTCACGTGACTCACATTATCCTTGTTATTCTAAACTGAATACAGAAATACAACATTATATGATACTCTTTCATTGATGCATGATACATTGTTTATAGCAGACACTACACCATCCACCCCCAAATGTTCTCAATTGGATTTGGATCAGGGGAACCTGCAGAATGCTCCAAAAGAGTGTTGTTCTCCTGAAAGAAGTCCCTGGTCCTGTGGGCATTGTCCTGACCCAGTGGTTACCACAAGGATCCTCAGTTATGAACAATGCCCCCTGAACATCTGGACATAGCCAGCGGCCGTTTGATGCTCCTGCACCTCCTGAAGCTCCATTGTTTCACTGAAGGGAAAAGCTCCTCAGTCCATCATACAGTAGTGTCCCTTTTGTTGTGGTGCATAGAAAACATCTCAGGGGAAATCTGCTTGTCATGTCAGTAACTTTGAAAACCATCAGGACCATCAAGGTTACATTCTTCTCATCAGAGACTAGAATTTTCTCCCACCTTTCAGTATCCCATGTCTGGTGCTCTCTTGCAACGTCCAAATGATCGTGGAAGATATATTTTTTTTATTTGTAAGTTATTCAGTATCTGATTACCAATGCCGACCTGCGGCATAGTGCTGGTGGATATTTTGGGTCTTCCACTTGACCTTTTTGTTTCTAAACCCCTAGGATGTCCTACTGCGTCCCACCTCAGTGGTGAGAAGTGGTTAAGAAGTTCAACAACCTGACCACAAAGAGGGGACATCGTTTTGCCTTTGCCATTAGAACATCATGGCAGTGTGACTACCTGACAGAAAGTGAATCCACGTTGTTGCTGTAAAACTGCCTGTTTGAATTGAAGTGTTGTTTTTAATAAACTGCTTCTCAGAAAAGGTTTTGTCTCGCTCTCGTTCCTTCTTGTTGCACTTGCAACGTTTCAGGGGACCTTAAGATCCAACCATGCACAATATGATTTTGCATGCCATTATTCTAATAGCATTAACATTTTGATCAGGATTGCATCCGCTGTGAGTTATGGTACTGTTTTTATTTCATGCTCTTTAGTTTTTTGTAAAGCTGTAAGAAAATTGCAAGTTTTATTTAATCATCTTGTTTTATTATTGTGTGTGTGTGCGTGTGTGTGTGTGTGTGTGTGTGTGTGTGTGTGTGCGTGCGTGTGTGTGTGTGTGTGTGTGTTGTTCCTACTCTGTAGGGGCAGCCTTTGGTCGTCTGGTTGGAGAAAGCATGGCGGCCTGGTTTCCCGATGGGATCCACTCAGATGGCTCCATCTACCCCATAGTTCCAGGTGGCTATGCCGTCGTGGGTAAGTTGAATGCACTTCCTGTCGACTCATTAAAGAATATATTAGAATACTCTTTTCAGAGATATATCTTATGTTGTTTAGTTTGTTTTCTTTTCAGAAGAAACCTCTGCTAACCGTTTGGATGTTCTCCTTATACTCAATGCTTTTATTCTCCTCCAAACATTTTCTCATCTAGACATCTAGAAACTCGCTGTTTTAATTTACAAACAAATGTTTCCTCAAGGCTACATGATGGTGCAGTTGGTAGCACTGTTGCCTTCCAGCCAGAAGGTCGCCAGTTTGAGTCCCAACTGTGTGGTCTTTTTGCAGCGCACCTCTGATCGCTGTGCCTGAGACAAATAATGTCAATAACTGATGGGACCTGTAAATAAATAGTTTAGAAATAAGACACAAATGCATTTCTCACACTGATAAATAATAATTCATCTGAGTGACAAGTTGCTGCTGTAAACCCCTACAGCACTGCTGGAGACGACTAAATCATTTTTATGCCACATTTTGCTTCTATTTTCAAAATGCACTGGATAAATCTTGCTGTTAGTATTTCCAAGATATTGGTTGGCTTTTCGGGTCTGTATTGAGTACCCTTAAAGAGCAAGTCACCCCCTACCAGAGTCTAACTCCCAGTGTTGGGAACGTTACTTTAAAAAAGTAATTAGTTATAGTTACTGATTACTTTGTCAAAAAAGTAACTCAGTTACTAACTGAGTTACAAGATCATAAAAGTAACTAATTACCAACAAAAGTAACTACTTAGTTACTTTTTTCATTAAAGAATGCAAGAATTACTACAATAGTAAAATATAAATGACTAATGACTGAACATAATAAAATGTATGTCCAAATGTTTTATATAAACCTGAATAATTTAAATAAATAAGCACTTAACAGGAGGAACTACTAACAGGAGCATTACACTAATCTAGACTATTAAAAGGTCACTGTGTGATATTTAAAAAAAACCCAATCAGCTAAAAACTAAAATTGCAAATAGCAACACCTGTAAAGGTTCCCGAGCCTTTAAATGGTCTCTCAGTCTAGTTAAATTACAGAAATAAATGTAATTTTGAACAGCATTTTAATTTTTCCAGCTTCACATAATTGTGTGTTTTCAGCAGCATTTCTGTTGCTGGTAATCTAGTAATGGTTAAATAAATAAATAAATGTCCTTTAAAATGACACTAGAAGAGGCACAAATCTGATGGAGGACTTACATTTACTAACGTGGGTCAGACCCAAACACAGAAGAGCTGAAGCTGGGTGGTAAACACACACAGGTAGTTCTAATAACACCTGAGCTCCATGTCGTCTGAGACTGATGCATCAGTGTTACAGCGGGATTAAAGACATGATCAGGAACAGGTTACAGCTGGATGATCTAGGAAGGTAGAAGATCAGGACGTCTGAGCAGTGAACAGATGAGCGGACCTTCGGGACGTCCCGCTGTCACGCTAAGGGCACGGCTGCAGACCCGCAGATTCGCTGCTGCACGCATTTTCTTATCAGTAACAGGAACAACGTTTTGATAAAAGAAGACGTAATTAATTAGTTTGCTCATTACAGAAAGAAATATTTTTTATTAACGCGGTTATTTTAAACGGAGTTATTCCCGTTGTGTCTACAGAATGCAGTGACTGAGACCGTGAGGGTCTCCGCCCACCCGGCCAATCATCATCGTGTTTGTAAGTGTGTTACCGACACCTCTCTCTCCCTGGCTGCAGCTGAAGTGTGGCGGTCAGAAAGCCTCACGCTGCTGCTCAACGTTCGACAAGCACATAGTAACGCACAACGTTCCGTCCCCAGTAACGGTAACGGCGTTGCAACGGCGGGAAAAGTAATTAATTAGATTATTCCGTTACCTATAAAAGAACGCCGTTAGAAACGCCGTTATACTTGAACGGCGTTACTCCCAACACTGCTAACTCCACTACCACTTCATGTTTGACAAATGCAACAAATGCTGTTGCCTGGCAGACCGAGAGGGCGGAGCCGCTAACAAATACACACACACACAGGCTCACGACAGCATTGTGACATCGTAATGTACCAGTTTACATCATAGCATACCTCTTAGCCAATAGCGATGGCAGATTTAAATTCAAATACAGTACAGAGATTTTACCTGACAACGGCACAACAATGCCAGTTTTAGGTAGAATATTAAAATTTTAGCTAAGATGCACTGAAGTGCCAAATTATTGACGGCACGTGTCTGCAGCACGATTAGACTCTTGTTTATTTAGTTTATCAGCAAAAAAAAGTTTATTTGGGGGTGGCTTGCTCTTTAAATAAACCAAGTGCAGCCGGGGAGCATTCCCGGGGCGATTTTGTACGGTCCCCACTTGAATTACTAAAAAGGTGAATTTTGTCTCTCCATACAGCATGTTGATAAAGATCACCACTTTCTAACATGGTTGTGTTCAGATTTTTACGTTTTAGCCTACCTTGAAGAGTGCAACTGATACCATAAAATAAGGTTTGCAATCTTCTAAAGAGCAAGTCACCCACAAATCAACTTTTTTTTGCTGATAAACTAAATAAACAAGTGTCTAATCGTGCTGCAGACATGTGTAGTCAACAATTTGGCACTTCAGTGCATCTTAGCTAAAATTTAAATATTCTGCCTAAAACTGTCAGTGTTGCGCCGTTGTCAGGTAAGAACTCTGCACTGTATTGTAATTTAAATCTGCCATCGCTATTGGCTAAGAGGTATGCTAAGATGTAAACTGGTACATTACAATTTCACAATGGTTTGGTGAGCCTGTGTTGAGTAAGAATCTGGTAAGGGGTGACTTGCTCTTTAAAGAGCTCTTTAAAGAGTAGGTCACCCCTTACCAGATTCTTACTCAACTCCCACTTCCTGTTAGAAAAATGCTACAAATGCGGTTGCCTAGCAGACCGAGAGGACAGAGCCGCTAATAAATGCACACACACACACACACACAGGCTCACAACTACATTGTGACATCATATGGTACCAGCTAACATTCTATGGTACCTCTTAGCCAATAGCGATGGCAGGTTTAAATTCAGATGCAGTGCAGAGTTTTTACCTGGCAATGGCACAACACTGAAAGTTTTAAGCAGAAAATAAAAATTTTAACTAAAATGCACTAAAGTGCTAAACTATTGACTACATGTGTCTGCAGCACAATTAGACACCCATTTATATAGTTGATCAGGAAAAAAAAGTCTATTTGGGGTTGACTTGCTCTATAAACATGACTATTTTGGCCCTTGCCTTGAAAAGTTTGGACATCCCTGGCCTAAACCCTTTGGGTCATAAACTATTAGCAAGTGTATTGGCTTTATACCAGGAATCAGGAACTGTTTTTGTGATTTTCTTGTTTCTTTCTTTTTCTTATTTATTTTTGTCCTGATTGCGCCCTGTGTAATTTTATGACCAAATAAATAATTAATTAAATAAAACTGACATTAAATTAAAAAAATCTTCTTAAATAATTGAGATCTCAATTTCTGTCCAAATAAGCGTGATTATCATTATTGCCATAATGGAGCAACCCTAAGATTTCATTCATTGGAAGGAATATAGGAAAGTTTCCACGAATGTTTGAATGATGACGCACCTCTGGTGACCTTGCTGAAGGTGATGGACGGATGGAAGTTCACTCATAATAGCCTGCATGGTAGGATCTGGTGTCTGTAAGTCAGAAGGGACCAAATGGACCAAGAGACATAGTTGCACTGATGTCAAATGCCCTACCAGCCCCAATAATAAACAACACTTCTCACAAAGGTGTTGTACCACGTCAGTGTGACTGCAACTGAACATCAGCCCTTTCTTACTTTTGTTTCCAGCTAGCAGCCAACTTTGCAGACATCTTATTTTGAAGTTACATATCTTTGATCCCATCTGAAAGTCATAAAATGTTTTTAGTGGGGAGAAACTTCAGAAAATACTTTCATCAGCTGCAAAATATAAAATCCACTGAATCGTTAATAACAGCGTGCTGACAGAAAATCTTCATGGCTCTTTTACTGTAGACTCTCCCATCCATCACATCCATTTACACTCCTGACAAGAGAGTTGTGTGAGAGATCCAGAGCTGCTGCAGAGCTACTTGCTGACATCTGTACTGATTATTCTGCTGCTGCAGGTTGGCAGTACTGTTTTTCTGGGCCTGCTGATGCTGTTGTTGTGGTGCACCACAGCTGATGAGTCAGCGCTTTACGGGCCCACCACTCTGATGAGACTCTTTCATCTCACAGCAGAACTCGCTCAGAGTGCTGAGTGTTAGGATGGGCTGATGGAGCTGTAGCATCTATCTGAGGGGGTAGTCAGACACACGGCTTAATTAAGTTACCAGAAAGAACAATGAGACCTGCCTGTGAAGACGCTCTCATCCTCTGTCTGTTTGCCCTTTTACCGTCATTCTCTCTCTCTCTCTCTCTCTCTCTCTCTCTCTCTCTCTCTCTCTCTCTCTCTCTCTCTCTCTCTCTCTCTCTCTCTCTCTCTCTCTCTCTCTCTCTCTCTCTCTCTCTCTCTCCCTCTCTCGACTGTTTCTCTTTCTCTATCCAGTGTTCATCTCATTGTTTGAATTAGACTCATCTATTTTCTCTGTTAGTATGAAGGCTCATTTGCTTCATGCTGCTTCATCTTCTTTTTTCAGCTTTTTAACCAGACTTGGAAGGAAAAAGCATTTAGAAAGACGAGGGCTCGCTTCT